ATATTCAGACCGATATTCTGTTTGAGATTCAGTTTTAATAATATTAAAAGAGAACTGGATATAAACTTAGAAAAAAGTCAAACATGCCACTCTTCGGCCATTCAAATTCATAGGAGCCTCTTGGGGATTTGAATGGCCCGATGTCACTGGCATGATGGCTTTGCTTCGTTTCATCCCCAGCCAACTAAATTAGAGAACCTCTGTAAGCCATCCTGCCTCCACCCCTCAGTCTCTTCACAAGGCTGTAGGTGGAAACGAGGAAGAAAAAAATGATTTCCTCTATGTGGTTTATATAACCTGCAACACACAAAAGGGTTTTTTAGGTTTGGCTTGGGCACGGGGTCTGGTTGTGGCCTCCTGAGCTATGAAAGAGTAGATAAGGCCTTTCGGACAAAGGACAGCTGCTTCCTCTGATAAGTTTCCCCCCACCTGTGGCAGGGCTGTGGGCAACGATGGGGTTGGGGCAGGATGGGTAGGAGGAGCTTGGGAAGTTACTGTAACTTTGAGTCTTGTCAAATTGTAAAGAAAATAGTGTGCTTCCTCTCTTTCTTTTCTCTCTTTCTCTCTGAGTCAGATTTGTTTCACATTATAAGCAGGTTTGCATAGCGTGGGGGATGATGCCGTAAGGCCAAGAAAAATCTCTGAAAATTCTTCTGTCCAAATAGTTTTCTATTTTAACATATGTTTCTTCTTCTTATAGGGCATGACTGCAGGAAAATATATGTTCCAGTTCCTGTAATACAGTGGTTCTCAAGCTGGCCCCACAATAGAATTCCCTAGGGAACTTTAAAACAGTACCAACCCCAGGCTCCACTCCAGTCCATCTGAATTAGAACCTCTGGGAGTGGAGCCTGGGCATCAATGTTTTTAAAAAGAAATAGATACAAATTAAAAGAAAATTAACACACAAGCCACAAACAAGGAGAAAGTATTTGCAAAAATGTGTCTTTTAATAAAGGACTTGTATCCACAATGTGTAAAGAACTCTTAAAAGTTAATAATAAGAAAGTAAAGAACCTAATTTAAAAATGGAGAAAAGATTTAAATAGATACTTCACTAAGGAAGACACGAGGATGGCAAATAAACTCATGAAAGAATGTTCAATATCATTGGTAATTAGAGAAATGCAAATTAAAACCACATTGAGATAACATGGTATACCTTCTAAAATGACAAACAAACAAAACAACCACAAAAAACAACAGCTGATGACTCTGAGCTGGCAAGGAATGGAGCAACAGGAACCGTCATATATGGCTGGTGTGAATAAAAAATAATATAGCCCCTTTGGGAAAAAGTTTGGTCTTTTATTATAAAGTTAAACATTCACTTACCATACACACTAATGACTCCACTCCTAGATATTTACTCAAGAGAAATCATAACTGGTATTCACACAAAAACCTGTATGTGAATATGTACAGTGACTTTATTCATATTGGCCACAGACTGAAACAAGCCAGTTGTCCTCCAACTGGTAAATGGATAAGCAAACTGGTGTGTTCACGCAGTGGGATACTGCTTCCCAATAAAATGGAGCAAACCTCTGATACACAACATGAACGAATTTCAACTGCATCTCACTGAGGGAAAGAAAGCAAACTCACAAGGTTATATACTGAATGGTGCTGTTAGTATAATGTTCTGGAAAAGGCAAACTGATAGGGACTGAGAACAAATCAGTGGTTGCCAGGAGCTGGGGTCGGGGGAGGGGTTAACTACAAAGAGGCAGCATGAGGGAATGACTTTGGGGGTGATGGAACTCTTCTATGTCTTGACTGAGGTGAAGGTTACATGACTGTATGTGTTTGTCAAAACTTACAGCGTATATAAAAAAGGGTGTGTTTTACTATATGTAATTACAACTCAATACAACCAACCCCACAATTCATTATTACAGAAAAAAAGCTTTCAAGTGATTTAAATTCACAAGGTCGAGAGATATTATTGGCACAACAGATTTGAATCTAGGCTCTGCATTTAAACTTCATTTTCCACATATGTAAAATAAAAGATAATAAAACCTACCTTAAAGGGATATTATGAGTTTTAAATGTTATACTGTCTGACAAGCACCTAATAAAGGATTTGGCACAAAATAATATTCATAATAACCACTTATTTAGTGCTATGTGCTAGGCAATGTATTAATAGCAGGTACATTTACAAGCAACTCCATGAAATAGATATTATTATTTTCAAATTGGAGAAACTGAGCTCAGTGAAGTTATTGAATTTGCTCAAGGTCAGTGGCTAAACCAAGTCCAAACTGAACATTATTAATTACTATACCACTCCTGCAGTGTATATTTCAAACATCCCCCTCTTCAACTGTTACTTCCTAGCCTCTATCTCACTTTCTCAGTATTTTTATCCCAATGATTTCCTGACTTCATTGAAATCTCCAATTTCCACAGATCCTCCCACTTTTCATGAATCATCATCACTCTCATGTTTTCACTTCCCTCCTTATTCAGCCTAGATTATGTGGTTCGGCATGGTTTACTCTTCTTTTGCAAACGCCCTTAACCCCATTGCTTTCTTCTCCTTCTGCTTGGAAAAAACTAAATCTAGTAAATAAATTTTCTCTTTATTCCATTCTTGCAACCAAGCAGCAATTATTGTTGGAGATAAACGCACGACCGTGGAAACTGGGCTCATCAGGTGAGACAGGTTTTAATTAAGACCAGGAGAAAAGGACCATGTATTAGAAAGGGCGAAGATATAGGGGAGCTTGATTACTGTGCTATGGAGAAGTGGTGGTAAGTTTGGTCAAGGGAGAGGCAATACGGGGATAATGATGTGGGCGTGGAAAGAAGAGGGTGGAGGGGCTTCCTTAAGTTTAATGACCAAGGATTATGAGAGTGAGAGGCCTAGCTGAAGAAACCTGGTCTACATACACTAACACTGGCACAAGTTATTTTGGTCCTGGCCCTGGCTGGGGGCCATAGGAGGATGCTGGCTGGCTTCAGTGGGTAGATGAGTCAGTCATAAAGTGTAGAGAAGTGTTAAGGATGGGGCCATATGTGGGCTGGGGGAGAGGCAGCATTTTTTTCTTCTGGTGCCTGATGCGGTGGTGAAGGCATGAGTTACTGGGCAGGACCAGGGTCTTTGGTGGAGGTGGGTTAATGAGGTGCTGGTAAATGTTTAACAACTGACTCTCCAAACAACGACAGCAACCGCAACAACAAACACATAGTCTCAACATAGCTGATTTCAAGTTAACAACACGACATCACTGAATGTAAAGCTGGAAAGAGGTATGCACGATCAGGGATCTTGGCAGCTGCTGCGAGCTGGCTCCAGCACAACACTGGCTGGGCCACTCTTGGGCTCTCCATCTGCGCAGTGGTAAAGTCTAGACTATACTGCGCCTATGAGCATTGGGTGGGTGCGGGGGTCCCCAGAATGCAACCGGACCTTGCTCTGGTTTCTAGCTGTTATGTATTCTGTGAAGGAAAAGACAGAGGTGATTCATCCACAGGCATCATCGTGGTCTGGGGGCTGGGTCAAAATAGGATGAGATCTAGAGAAAGTTGTGTAGTCTTCATTAACTGGGCAGGACCCTCATGCATCTGCCCTGTGCCCTCTGTGGGACCCCCTGGTTATATGTCTGCCTTTTCCCCTACCATTGCTATTCTATTCTATAGGAGAACACGTTTAAATCTATAAACTCATGGTAAATAAATTTCTTTGTCAAAAAAGTTTGGAAGTAATTGCAATCATGTTAATAGAATTTCAAGTATCCATAAAATTCATTCATGTGAATAATTTATTTTTATCTACAAAGGAGAAAAATCCTCTATTCTGTAGAAACCTAAATTATTAGGATATTAATACATACAAGAGTATGACTGCAGGAAAAGGGGATAGTGGTAAAACCAACAGGGAGGATAAATCATCACAGGAGATTAATAAACTCAGTCTGGAAATATTTCCCTTATCAAAGGAAAGCGATGTCAACTATAAACCAGCATACTTTATGGTTGCATGTCTGTAGTCTGTCTTTGAATCCTACATGGATGAGGGCTATTTAATTCTGATGTATGATATTAATGTAGTGCTTTTCTTATGGTAGTATGCACCGGTACACAGAACTCCCAACACAAATTAGAATTCCTATTTCTCCTGAAACAATTGAAGAGACCAAGACATTCACTGCCAGTACCTGCGTTGACCCACATGATCTGCCACCCCAAACCCCAGCAAAGCCTCACACTTTTGCAACACAGTCATCAAAAAGCAGGAAGATTTTGTGTTTTTCAAGTTGTCCGTTGACCTACTCCAGCCACCCTGGGAAGATACTGTGGATGCCAACTCAAGAGAAGGGAGGGAAGAGGAAAAGGGCATAGGAGGGCCTTTTCACAAGTTATCAACATGGGAGTTGATAATTTTTAAAAAATGAGTTTTATGACTCTTTCTCAAGGGGAGAGAAGGAGCTATTGACCTATCTCTGCAGAATATCAGTCTGTTGAGGAGCCTATGGCACCACAGATGGTGATTTGTGACTTGCACAATGGCCTCAAATCTCCTAGTTTGTCTTCCTTCTCCTTGGGAGGTACAATGCCAGCTTGAGGCTTATGAAATCCTGATCATATCAGATTTATTGATTTGTCATTTTGCTACTCTGTCTATCCCTTATTATTTAAATCCTAGGGTGTCCTTTCTCCTACCCCAAAGGGATTGACTTATCTTCCAGTGAGAGGGAGAGTTAAAATAAAAATAGAACCATTAGAACATGACAGGGAATGAGAAGTTGGGAGATGTCTGGGCACCAGAATAATTATTTGTATTGAAAAACCAAAAACAAAGGGAAGCTACCATAATTGAGTTAAAACCTATCCCTGATTTCCCTGGCAGTCATGGCAAAAAGAGGACATAATGAACACTTCTCTGCCACTTTATAGACCTCACCACTACATACTCTAGAAAAGCGGGATGTGCAGCAACAGTCCAGGAAACATGCTTTACACAGGACGTCCTGCACTGAGACACTTACCTGACAATATGGATGCGACGGCTGCAATGATGAAGGATACAATGACACCAGGTCCTGCCATTTCCTTGGCCACCAGGCCAGATACCACGTACATGCCAGTGCCCACGCAGCTGCCAACGCCAAGAGAGATGAGGTCCACGGTGGTGAGTACCTGGGCTAGCTTGGTGCCGTGTGCTGTGGTGGCCCCAGTTCCCTCTAGCATGGACTCCACCGGTTTGGTGCGCAGGATCCTGGAGTGCATGGCGTACCAGGCAGCTCCCCACTGCACCCGCCGGGGGTCCAGTGAGGCCAGGAAGCCACTCATCTTGAGAGATAAGGGTTGCAGTGGAGGTCAGCTGATGGAAGAGTGCTACAAAAGCCTTAATGGATGGTTCTGGAACTCATCTAGTGAACAGGAATCTCCCTCTTAGGAAAGGTCCAGAAGGACCTGAAGCAGCCTTCTCCTGGGCATGGATGTCTGCAGGAAAAACACAAGAAAGGAGAAGATGAGACCAAGTGGGAAACAAACTATGACTTGGAGGCATAGTTAATGTCCTGAACTGGTAAAACTGGTCTATCCTGTGTGTTCATAACATGGGCGGGTTCCATGGGTTCCATTTCCCCTTGGTGTTTCCCCTCCAGTCTTAAATGACAGTCTGAAGCTTGCACTGTGTTGCATAGTTGTTCTAAAGAGGACAGTCTGAGTCAGGGCTCTGCCACTTACTGCTCTGGGACCTCAGGTAAGCTACTTCCCTTCTCTTGCTTTAGTCTCAACTGTCCAATGGGATAATGAAGCCTCCCTCTGAGTGTTGATGTGAAGATTAAATGAACATATGTCTATAAGGAGCTTAAGACAATGCCTGGCACATAGAAAATGCCCCTCTGACTCAACTCTAAGTACTTCTTACTTGGCCTCTCAGCACCAGGTCTGTGATTCTGGGGTATAGTTTTAGGGGACACAATATCCTCATTTTTTACATAGGATGTAAAATTAGATCCATGAATCTCAAGAGGCCATGCCACCCCATGGGGTTGTTTTGGAACTTGGCTTTCAAATGAAATGAAAAAGGTTTTGGTCATTTTTTGGTATTCAAAGACTGGGGCGGCAGGGAGTGCTCCTGGCATTTGGGGGAGGGGGGCTCTGAGATTCTGAATGTGCAGGACAGAGTCACATAACTTTTAGATATCTTACTCAACATTCCTGTAGATGAAAATCCTGGTTATGATGATCCGAGCCTAGAAACTCTTTTGCATATAAACATGTGGGATATTTTGGATAGTCTTTTTTAAAAATTTTTTTTTATTTCAGCATATTACGGGGGTACAAATGTTTGGGTTACGTATATCACTCTTCCCCACGTGAGTCAGAGCTTCAAATGTGTCCATCCCCCAGATGGTGTGCACCATACCCGTTAGGTGTGTACATACCTATCCCCTCCTCCCTCTCCCATGTGCCCGACACCCGATGAATGTTATTACTATATGTGCATTTAAGTATTGATCGATTAAAATCAATTTGATGGTGAGTACATGTGGTGCTTGTTTTACCATTCTTGTGATACTTCACTTAGTAGAATGGGCTCCAGCTCTATCCAGAATAATACAAGAGGTGCTAGATCCCCATTGATTTTTGTGGCTGAGTAGAACTATACATACATCACATTTTATTAATCCACTCATGTATTGAGTGGGCACTTGGGTTGTTTCCACATATTTGCAATTGTGAATTGTGCTGCTGTACACATTCTAGTGCAGATGTCTTTTTTATAGAATGCTTTTTGTTCCTTTGGGTAGATGCCCAGTAATGGGATTGCTGGATCAAATGGTAGTTCTACTTGTATCTCTTTGAGGTATCTCCATATTACTTTCCACAGAGGTTGCACTAGTTTGCAGTCCCACCAGCAGTGTATGAGTGTTCCTATCTCTCTGCATCCATGCCAACATTTATTATTTTGGGACTTTTTGATAGAGGCCATTCTCATTGGAGATAAGTGATATCTCATTGTGGTTTTGATTTGCATTTCCCTGGTGATTAGAGATGTTGAGCATTTTTTCCTACGTTCGTTAGCCATTAGTCTATCTTTCTTTGGAAAGTTTCCGTTCATGTCCTTTGCCCACTTTTTGATAGGGTTGTTTGATTTTTTCTTGCTGATTTTTCTGTGTTCTATATACATTCTAGTTATCAGCACTTTATTGGATGTGTAGCATGCAAATATTTTCTCCCATTTTGTAGGTTGTCTTTTTGCTCTCATGATAGTTTCCTTGGCTGTGCAGAAGCTTTTTAATTTGATCAGGTCTCATTTATTTATTTTTGTTGTTGTTGTGATTGTCTTTGGGGCATTCTTCATAAATTCTTTGCCTAGGCTGATGTCTATAAGAGTTTTTCCAACATCTTCCTCTAGAATTCTTATAGTTTCACGCGTTAGGTTTAAGTCTGTTATCCACCGTGAGTTGATTTTTGTGAAAGGTGAAAGGTGTGGATCCTGGTTCAGTCTTCCACATGTGGCTATCCAGTTTTCCCGGCACCATTTATTGAATAAGGATTCTTTCCCCCAGTGTATGTTTTTGTCTGCTTTGTCAAAGATTAGATGGCTATATGAAGATGGTTTTATATCTGGATAGTCTTAATATACAAGAACACTGAATTTCTAAGGAAGGCAATTATAGAATAAATCAAAGGAAGATTGTAATTTGTTTCATTTGGAACTTAAAAGGAATTGTTCACCATTTCAGGAAACCAAGGTCCCCATGAGAATGCCGCCCATGGTATTGCTTTTCTGATGCAGCGCCCTCTAACACTCTTAACATCTGGAGCTGAGATTCTTCACGTAGTGCAAACATCTGACAGCTTCATCTGGACATGCCTAGGATTTACATACTGCAGTATATTATATATATGCAGGCTATCCATGAATTTCACTTCAGGGTACTAAAAAGGGGTATAACAAAATATTTATTATGAAAAGGGGTGTCGGGTCTGATAGAATTGACAACTACCGTGTTAGGTGATTTCTAAAGTTTTGCCAAATTAGAAAATGCAAATATCATACAAAGCTACTTTCTTTGGAAGAGGAAGCTTTATAAAATTTATAAATGTATAGGATTTTTGAAGTATAGTCAAACATTGATTCCAAGTACTGTACTGATAAGCCTAGGGCATTTATATAATCAATAAGTACCACCTACACACACTGCTAATATTATTAGTTAATACTACTTAGCACTTAATGTAGCACTTGTCTGCTTCTAAAGGCTTTGCAAACACTAATTTAGAAGAATCAGGTGAAATGTGGCAGTTTGGTTCACAGGGTTGGGTGACAGTCCTTCTGGTTTAATTGCCTCTTAGATTTGACATATCGCTTCATGCTGTTATTATTTCTGACAACACCTTAAATATCACTACGGTTGGATAGTGTCACTGTATATGCCAGAGCTATTAAAAAGCCTAGAGTGTCTGCATTCCTCTTCCTCCCCTTCTCCTCCTCCTCCTCCTTTCCCTTTCTTCCTCCTCCTCCCTCTCCCCTCTCTTCCTCCTCCTCTCTCTGTTACTCTTCTTCCTCCTCTTCTCCTAAAGACTTACAGATTTGTGAGAAAATATACCACATGTGTACCAGGAAGACTACTGGACCAACTTCTTTGGTTGAGGTCTTGTGGGGAAAGGAAGGTACCCACCTTTTTGGTTTCAACTCAGCCAGTACATATTGAACATCTGCATGTGCCAAGCACACAGGCTTGTAGATGCAAAGACGTGGTCCCTGATCTCATGGGGCTTGCAGTCTAGGACAAGAGGTAATGGACACCCGCATCTCCTTGCAAATGAGAAAGTTTGGTTTCTTTTTTCTGAAAAGTTTGCCTTTTATTATTTCTCTTATTACAAAAGAATAGCATGTCTACTGTAGAAAAATCAGACAATATAAAAAAAAACCCCACATGAGTAAATAAAATACTACCCAGCTAGCAACAACCTATCAACACCTGGTTTATATTCTCTCAGACCCTCTTCTGTACAAGCATGTACACACATCTATTTGAGTGGATATATATGTGTGGGTTTGTGTTTTATAAAATGAGATTATACCATTTGTTCTGACTTAAAACTTCTTTGTTTTGCCTAACAATGTATTTTAATGTTTTTGCACATCAATAGTTACGGAAACATGATTTTTAATAACTGAATGGTCACCTCACTATTGTGGCTTCAGTGTTACTCAGAAAATTGGCCTGTTGCTTTAGTTTTAGTTCATTCATTCCAGAAAATATACACAGCATCTTCTCTGTGCCAGCCCAGCCTCATGCATCAGTTGCTGTGGTGAATAAGGCATCCAGAGTCCTGCTCTTGTGGAGCTCACATTTGGTGAGGAGGGACAAGACAATACACGGGTTGACAAATAAAACTAGATCATTCCAGAGAGGAATAAGGGCTATGCTATGGGCTGAATTGTGTCTCCCACCCCCAAATTTGTATGTTGAGGTCCTAACTTCCACTACCTCAGAATGTGACCTTATGTGGAAATAGGGTCATTACAGATGTAATTAGTTAGGATGAGGTCTTACTGAGCTAGGGTGGGCCCCTAATCTTCTATGATGGGGAATTTGGACACAGAACCACACACACAGGGAGAAAGCCATGTGAAGATGAAGGCAGGGATCAGGGTGATGTTCCTACAAGCCAAGGAATGCCACAGATTGCCATTGACCAACCGGCAGCTAGAAAAGAGGCATGGGACACGTTCTTCCTCATAGTCCTGAGAAGCAGCCAACCCTGCTGACATCTGGATCTCGGGTTTCTAGACTCCAGAATGGTGACATAATAAATTTCTCTCTTTCAAGCCACCCACTCTGTGGTACTTTGTTATGGCAGCCCTAGCAAACTAATACATGCTATAGAGGAATAAAACAGGGTGATGAAGGGGTGGGAAGGTTTCTGTGGACATGGTATTGGCTCCTGAGTGGCAAGAGGGGCCAGTCGCGTCAGGTGTCAAGGAAGAGCGTTCTTGGCATAGCAGGTCCAGAGGGACAGCAGGATCTGAGTGAGACTGGTACAGGGTGAGGAGGAGGATTTGAGTGCCGTGTCAACTAATTTAACCTCATAACACATCTGCCTTTACAGATGAGGCAGAGGAGGCCGGGAGGGGGGCAGCCACTTGCCCAAAGTCACCAGAGCCAGAACTCGGCTCTGAGCATCTGACTTCTGGCTCCACTGCTTGAGGCGCACAGGGACCAGACTGCAAGGGGCTGGTAAGCCCAGGTAAGAGGTGTGTGACTCTAAGTGCGGGGAGAAGCCACAGAGGGTTTTGTTCGGGTGAGCAACATCAGATGACTTTCATTTCTGAAAGCTCATTGTAGCCGCTGTGGAGGAATCATGGGCCCACAGGAGCAGAGGGGAAGAACCATCAGCAGCGTGGAGAAGAAGCTCATGAACCGCATGCTGCTGGGAACAAGGAGAGTGGCCCTGTGGCAGGCACGGCTGTGGTAAAT